TATGTATGCTCAAATCTTTCAACAATCTTTTTAGTCATAATCCTTCGCATGTTATATGAGTTAATGCCCTAAGTTTTACTTGAGTGCTACTCTTAGCATAGCAACCACTCCATAAAAAAATGATCAATAATTTATATTAAATTTTTTACAAGGGATTTTAAATTTAAGACAACTTGATGTAATTCAGTTAAAGAGGAATGCCCCTACTAAGGCAGACTCTCTAATATTGGCTTGAAATATTTATAATAATCATAATAGATCTAGTATCTTCTAGAAAATGCATATTTTCTTTTCAATAATTTTATTTTGTTTAGTATATATGCGCGCAAGAGCTTTAGTTTGTAACTCTTTATCGAAGAAGGTAGTCCTCAAGAATTAACATGTTTCATTAGTATATCTAGATTTTAGCAGTGGCCACGCCATGATAAATTATTATATGCAGAGGTTGGGCGTTAAATGACGTTTAGAGAATTAAAAACTCCCAATCTAGTTCTTCAAAAACATCCAATTGCTACCAATATATGAGAAGAGTATTCTGATATTGAATGATACAAAGATCACCTTGAACAAGATCAAGTAAGGCACCACTGATTTTAAGCAACTTGGCACTATTTTTATTGTTCAAGTACGCCTCCTCTCTAGCATCCCAAATTTTATTTTCAAACCAATTTCTTTTTTTATGATGTTAATAAGTAGATATATTTATGTTATTTTTATATCATCATTATTTCCACCGTTTGATTTGATGATTTTTTTTTAAATAGAATTTATGAAAATTACATGTGAATCATAGCTTAATGATATTTAGACAACATCGGAAACTAATCATATATTAATATTATAAATTAATGATGTCATGTAAATAAAATAAAATAATCGATAACAAAAATTATTATTTATTATAGGATAAACACTATCCAACAATCTTAAAATAAATTTAATATTTTTAAGATTTTAAATGAATTTAATTCAAATAAAATAAAATAAATGTTCTAACGACTAACTCAATGGCGATGGGTTCTAAATTTCATTTAGTAAAAAAAAAAAGCAATTCTTTTGATGAAGGATTACAAATGCTCCATAATGGCCTTACATTTCATACGATAATTAAACAATTAAATATATTAATTAAGCTGCAAGAGCCTTACACACGTAAATTAGCAAACTCTAATTAGTCATTAATTCAAAGAATTTAAGGATTTTTGTACTAATTATCTTCATTTATTAATTATGAATAAATCAATTAAGATTTCGTACGCCAAGAGGATCTGACAGGCATGGAATGATAGGATAAATACTATCAAACAATCTTTAAAATATAATTTTAATATTTTTAAGATTTTAAATGAATTTAATTACAAATTCATATGATCTCTCTGTTGGAAAACTAATCTCAATTAATAAATTTAATTAGTTTGGATTGCATAGTTATCTATTTTGATAAGAAATTCTCATCAGTTTTTAATAAAAAATGAGAATTTATGTGATTATGATGTGACCGGTTGTAGTAGACTGAAAGAGTAGGCATGAAACTTAATAAATTTTAAGTATATTTTATATTAATATTTTTTAAACGATCTGGCTCATCAGCCAACTAGTTAAGTTGGCGCTAGCTCAAGCTTGGCTCATTAGCTCTTCGAGCTCGGCTCATGAGCCATTTATCAAGTCGAGCCTGAGCCAACTCACAAGTCGGCTTGACTCACTTACACCCCTATAGAGAACAAAACTCTTATGTGAAGATAATGAGCAATAATATGAACAGCCCTAGACAACATTGAAAGCGACCAGCAATATTGATTGCAGCAGGAAGCAATTACAAAAAGTGAGAGCTCCAACTTAGGTTGGTAATTAAATCATTATATGATGCTGCTCATTTTGGTGGTTGGGAGCTTTGACTACCAACCAAGAGGAATCAAGAGGTCTTAAGTTCAGAGTCTTGTGTATGTAATGTGTGTGTGTTAGTTTCCTCAGTAATAGATATGGATATTATAGATTATTTATTTATTATTAGATTGGAGTATATCCAAGATGATGTTAGTAAAGAGTTGTAGACTTACAATTTGAGAATCCTCTTACCCAATTTGAGAATCCTCTCCTAATCAGGATACCATGATTGATTGTTTTATAGAGAAAACGTGAGACTTCTTATATTTCTTGAGTTGCAAGCAATGTGGGGAGGATTTTGATTCAACATTGTATGGATTTGGAATGATTTATAATTTGTTATGAGGTCTCTTAGATTATAGATGTTGAATTTGAGTTGATAGTCTTAAAGTAAATTTTGGATGGTAGTAGATTGGGTTCTGTATGGAGCATATCATCGATATATATATATATGAGAATATATATAGAGACAACATTGCAGTTGTAGAGCTAGAGAGAGGAATGAACCTTGCTAAACTGAAAAACAAAGGTTTGAAGATGATCGATAAAAATGATGAACCACTATTTGTAAGCTTTAAGTCTATAGATGGCTTGAAGAAGTAGATAAATATGATTATAATGTCGAGGAACAACAAATCCTTGTGGTTGCTTGATGTAGATTGATTCATGAAGATGGGCACGGAGGAAAGAATTGGAGATGTTAAGTTGAGTGAATGAATACTCTTGATAAAATGCCATCATATTTAGGATATTGATCATTGGAATTGAAGTTACAAGTCTAAACATTTTATTCTAGTGTATGCCATACACTTGCTTATTCATTGAGCCATCGAGTGGGGGTTATAGTGAGCAACAGAGCCATCAAGATGAATTTTTTTTGTATACATCCAATTACTTAGTTCCTTGATTTTGATGTGCTTCACATTGTGAGGGCCATAGTATGATTTGTATGTTGGGCAAGATGTAAAGAACACACAACTTCACTTATGATAGTGAATAGAAATCATCAAGACAAATGAGTTATAGTAGCATGCATATCAACACAACTTCACTTATGATAGTGAATAGAAATCATCAAGACTAATGGGTTATAGTAGCATGCATATCACTGTTTTAAAAGGTTAATAACTGGGAGATAAGCCATTGAGAATATACACTATAATAAGATCATAATCAAGTGATGGTCCTACTATTATAAAAATATAAGCTTTGGCTTTGATGTCCACCAGATTTTATTGTATGGTTTGATCGCTCATGAATATGTGATGTGCAACATTCTTGAGTTGGGAGATATGATATCAATTTGTAGATTGTAGTATGATATTTGATGGTGTTTCATGCTTGGTATGTACTGCCAAGTCATTTATTATTATTATTATTATTATTATATATACGTGTGTGTCGTGCTATGATATTTTCATACAAAGTCATCCAGTTTATATCGTGATTAGCAATATTAATCATATTATGTATAATACTAATCTCAATACAAATCGGACAACATTTAAGCTCATGATAGTATTTTTTTTATTTTTACCCTACTCCAAACCCTCTACGAAGGCTTTGTTTGGAACAACTTTTTAATTGCTTTGCTTTTCAGGCTGTAACTACAATTTCTATTTGGCCACTACTTTTTCGTTGCTTTCAAAAAAATTGTGCTAGAAAATTGTTTCTACGATACTTTTAGAAAGTTACTTTCTCTATAATAGTTTTACAAAGCAGTAAGAACTCTATCAAAACTCAACCTAATTCTCTTTATTTATGAGCGGCTTCAAATCATTATCTTAGAAAATTTGGATGCAACATTCAAATGGTCCTATGAATGAGCTAATATGAATACACAAAGAAACTTTTAAAATGTTATGGTTAGCTGAGGAAGTGGTCTTTAGGATTACTAAGGACAAGCTGTTGATGAAGAGGAATACTTATAGTTGAAGACTTCCATATGCCCAAACTAAAAAAAAAAATGATTATGCAATGGAAATTTTAATCAACTTCTTCAAAGATTACAGAGTTTTCGTGGCTGAATTCTCTTATTTGGTAGTTTTCATTGTCATTTATTTTTATATTGTCTTTTTATTTTATACAGCTACAATTGAATAAGGGTTGGAAATGAGAAAGAATTTGGGCCAAAAATTAAATAAAACACATTGGTTCAAACGTGTTGATGTAGTCAATGGTTTGCCAGCTTATGATTTGCCATTTGTACTTTAATTAATAAAAAAATTATAATTAATATCTCTATATTCATGGTTGCTAATATATTATTTAATTCATATAACATTATTAATTGTATCTATTTTGTTCTCTATAAATTATTCCTATAAAGTTGATCCAATCATATAAACTAAGCCAATTGGAGAATCCATTAAAATTCTTAATCTTTTTTTAATAATTGAATTCATTTCCATCTATATAATATTTAAAATATAATTTTTTAAATACATGACAAGGCTATGTGTATTAATTAAAAATTATCATAATTAACATCCCTAATTATATCATTTACAATCATTAATATATTTCTACCATAAATCATTTTTTCACTTGAAGATAATTTAAACAAAATTCAACATAAGATAACACAAGATGATAATGTCAAACCAATTAAGCCCCATAGTCACTAGCTATTGTATCATATTGAGTAGGGTGTAAATTAACGAGTTGAGTTGAGCTCGAACCATGCTCACTGGCCAAATTAGAGCATGGCTCACTGACCAAATCACGAGCTCGAACTCGAGTTGAGCTCAAAGGGCAAGCTTGTGAGATTTTGACAAAAGGCAGGAAGGTGTTGACATGATATCACCAGAGAAAAAGAAGGGGTGATCGTGACGTGTGCAACTTCTATTTTTATTTTTTCTGGGAACTGGTGTAGTCTTTTTTTTTTTTTTTTGGATATGGACTTTTCTCGACCCTATCAACTTTTCTCTTTTCTTGTTAAGAAAAAATATAACTGATTTTCTCAAGGAAAGAAAAAAATCTAAGCAACTACATCATTACTAGCTAGCACACGAGTCGAGCCTGTCAAGCTCGAGCTTGTGGCTCGATAACTCGACTCACTTACACCCGTAATCTTGAGTTTAGATGAGGCAAAATAGTAGTTAGTACTCTCATAACAAAATATATTATTCATTAAACTAGTTTTTTCCAAGGACTTCCCAATTCCAATATTGACATAAATTTCAAGTCATCTAAATGTTTAATACACTGAAACAAGTTTTACCTAAACAAAAAAAAAAAATCTTTTTCAAATACAGACTTTATTGTTCATTTGTCATGAAATGGCAAACTTAGTAAATGAAATACTCATTTTAGCAGTTTTGCATCAGCTGAAGAATGACTCAAAGAACACAAGCTAAGCCTTAGATGACTACCTTATGAATTGAGATGATCAGTTTTGTCTCTCTCTGACACATAAGAGCTGAGAAATGGTGGACTTCCACTGTAAGAACTGTTTCTTGTCTTCAAAGAGTAGTTGAACATGTCCATCATTGGTGCTAAGGTCTATTGAGCACAAGCCATGGCCAGCCTCATCACAACCACCATTGTTTATTTCCTCCAAAGTGTTGGTAATCCTATCTAAAAATAGAATGATAATCATTAAAATTAAGAATCATATCTATATAATCCATAACTTAGTTGTTGCATTAATCTTACAACAGAATAATTTCTTTTTACTAATGATACTTAAGTAACTTAGGTGTTGTGCCTGTTTCAAGATAGTCATTGCATTTAAGGTTCAAGTTTGGCTCTGAGCCATCGTGCTTGATCGATATATCGTGCTCCGATTGTTAATATCTATTCGGGTTTGATCCATTCTTGACTTGAGATGGCTCTCAGTCCAGTACTTATGTTAGTATATAACATTTTATTTTGTATGATCATTTAAGTATGATGAACTTACAATCTTTATGTGTAGTGATTGTACCCTTCAAAAGCTTCTTCACCAACCTTAATGTAAGCATATTATGCTTTAGGTAGATCCTTACTTCCCTCACCTGCAGCTTCCCTGCATCATAACAGATAAACATGCTCAGATCCTATTTGATTGTTTTCAATTTAAATCATTCAAGCATTTTCTTAGTATCCTTAAGCTGCTATAAATAGGGATATAGTTACACATTGTTATAATATACAGACAGGAGCAGGATTGAATGAGATTCTGCAAGTCTTTTACTATGTTAGCTCATTATTGAGTTTGGGAGAGTAGCTTTTCACTGTGTTCTTTTCTTTTTTCTGAGATTGAGGCTTCGTTTGGGCCGGCTGTTTTATTGCTTCATAAAGTAGCTTTTCAGTACAAAAATTAAATTTTTTATACTTTAAAGCTGCTTTAAGAAGCAGAAAGAAAGTAGTCCCAAACGAAACCTGAATCGCTGAAAATTGAGCAACTTATCTGTTCTGAGATTTCAACACATCGTATGGTTTGTCTTTTCAATGAGCCAATTTCGATGAGATTGCAGAGGCCTCGATTTTAACACAGGCAATAGAGCTAGCAGGTCCAAGAAAGAAGTAAACCAGTATTCTGAAAAGTTTTAGCTCTCTAACCCGTTGGTGAACATTTGAGGAGCTGTATTCCTCTTACAAGGATCACCTTGTCTTCTGAAATACGTCTGTTTGCAGCTGTCCTCACCTCAAGTGTTGAAGCTCCTCTTAAGCCTACATCGAATGAACACATTGTATTTATATTAGCATCAATAGCATAAAATGGGCCTTAATTTGAAATATATATGATCAACGGTTCTTCTTCGATAAGTTTTCAGTGGATCTTCTGTTATTTGTTAGGATTTCATTGCTTTTGGAGGAAAAATAATGATCTTGGAAATAAATAGAAGATTTTTTCCTACTGAAGTTCATATTATGGCCACTTGAATGTCCCCACTATTTAATTTTATTTTTAAAAATGGCTCTTTAACATAATCTCCTTTGAAATATATTCTCTTTTATATCAAGCTTTCCTAACATTTTCATTTTATAGCTACAAAATTTATCAGAAAGACTGAAACTCAAAAAGAGATTATAAGGAAAAGGAAGAATTACTTACATGTTGCAGCAGCAGCAGTTAGTCCGAGAATTTCTGAGGCGCTTTGTGTTGCTAGTCCCCTATCAATGGCTAAGGAAATAAGGGATCTCTTAGCTCCCACAGCCTCTGCAGCCTCAGCACATACTGTAGCTACTAGTGCTGCTGCCGAAGCAACCACCATGCTCATCTTCTGGTCCCAGCCTTCTCCCTGAACTGGCATAGCGGACATATTCCAATTATTCACAGAATCCATACTGAAATTCGCCAAAGTTCCTGCAATGGCTGATGCTAGCCTAGCAACAGAGAGAGCAGCATGGACTTGAGCTATCTGAAGCCTTAGCTTCTCTTTTCTTTTCATATGAGTTCTTCTTATAAATCTTGTAAGTAGCTCTCCACTCAGGAGTGCTTTCATGGACTTAACACTCATCTGCAAAAGTTTAAGTGAGCTTTGAAGTTTTTTTTTTTAATTATGTTTTGAGCTTGAGGTCTCAGTTAGTACCCAATTACTATGATGAGAGTTGTGCCTTTTAGCTGACGAAGTTGTGAAGCTTTCATTTGATAGCCATGCCTGTAAATAAAGCTCGAGCTTCAACCAACTCAATATTCTAGACAGTAGAAAAGTAATGAACAAGAAATAATGTATATTGGATTCGAAAATTTGCTCCATTGATATGAAATCATGGCTGGGACAGCTTTCTTGCTGCTTCTTAAAACAGCTTTCTTAATTTTTTACTAAAAAACTATTTTAAAAAGCATCAAGATAGCCGTCTCAAATGAAGCCTAAATTCGAAAATTTTAAATTCAAAGTTTAACAGACTTGCTCAAATAGACTTATTATTGGCTTCAGGAAAAGCAAGCTGAAGATCAGTGTGGGCTCCGAAAAATTCCAATTTTGGGGATGAGTGATCCCGGGGGAATTTTCAGATGGAATCGGTCGGTGGTTTTGCCGTTACAGTCAACAATCAGAAGGGAGAGTTGATTTGTTTTACCCAAGTATGATTCCTCATTATTGTAATTCCTCCACTGAATTCTGCAACGTTTTCCTCTAACCTCTGTTCCTTCATAACTTGATCATTCTCTTCACTTTTCTCATCCTCTAGCTTCGGAACTAGGATCTTCAAAAACGAACATGCACATCTAAATCTCACTTTGGTAACTCAACAGTGTAATATAAATAAAAAGAAAGGCTAAACTTTATTGAACTTTTTAAGCTAAATAATTACTTGTTGAAAAAACCATTCATTTCTGTCAAAATTGTATAAATTTTGAACAAAAACCACAACAAATAACAAAATAATTGAAGGCAACCTCCTTGGCTCAACAGAACCTAGGCAAGCTTGGGAAATTTGTTTGGAAACCATGAACCCTAGGCATGTCCAAAACAAAGCCTAAATTAGCCAGAGCAGGTTCAAAACTTGGTCGAGTCTATTCCATCCAGGGCTGTCAAGATGGAGAAATTATTTTGTTCGGTCGATGGACCATCCAGAGGCGAATCAGAAAGCGTCACGTCACTCGGTACACAACAATACACAGCATCGGTACACAACAAAAAAGTAACGTGGTGCGCTCTGATTCGTCTTTAGACGCCTTCCGGTGACTGCGCAGAATAATTTTTCTTCAAGATGATTGGAATGGCTTGGTGCCTCCTACCTCCAAGTGAAGATATTTGGTGTGACCTTTATACTTATCATTGTGATTCCTTTTTAAGCTTATTTGGCAATGGTTTCAATTTTTTATTATGAGTAGTTTTTTTATCTCCTCTCCCACCTTTTTCTCCTACTCTTGTCCATATTTGATTCCATAGGTACATTTGGCCAACTACTAACCCGAAGTCTACCTCCTTTAGACTATGCAATACACTACATAATCATCATCAAGGGCGGATCCAACTTCTTTTTTCAGGGTGGGCAAAAAAAAAATTTTTTTTGTAGGAGATAGGCAAAGATGCTTATGATTGATAAAATTATAACAAAAAATATTTTTGAGGGGGGCAAAATACCCAAAATATCCAAAATATTCCAAAACTTTCCCTCTAAATATTTAAAAAAAAAATTTGAGTGAGTCCTTGGTGGATCCGCCTATGATCATCATAGAATTCAAACTTGATAAGTCCCAAAAACTATCTAAAAATCAAGCATGCTAATATAATGTAGGATTAGTTTTGGGCATTTATATAGTATTTTTTTAATATATGCAAGTTTTACATAACCAAAAAGTAAATTATTGGAAAACTAATTCATTATTGTTTGATTTTGAGTGCTTTTGAAGTGCTTTGTGGCTTCTTCTACCTTTAAAAATTTTAGTGATAGCTTCAACTACCCTTGTGTTGGAAGTGGATTGCTGGCTCATTCCAATTGAAAGTATTTGATGAGATCTTCATACTTATCATTCTGCTTTCTTCAAAATTCATCTGCGCCACATTGCTTACTAAAATACAAACTTGTAAATAGCAAGCTCAATACTATCTGAAAAATTAGACTTGTCGATATTATTTCAAACACTAAACTCCATCTCATGATTCATGGCTTCTTACAAATTAAGCATAACTTGGATATTATAGGAGTAGAATTTTAAAATAGTCCTCCGATTATTGATAAATGTCTAATATAATCTCAGAGTTTTGTATTGCCCCATTTCACTTTCTCGACTATTAGAAATTGAGTCAATTTAATCCTTGAGATTAAAATAAAAATTAAAATTAACTCTAAACTTAAATATGATAGGTATTTTATATATTATAAGTGAAAATGAGATTATATTATTTTATTTTATCATTTAATAAATTATAGTATATAGTTAATCTAGTGTATGATAAGGATGAACAAAAAGAGAATATTTTTTTATATTTTTAAAGTAAAATCTAATATTGCTATTCTTTACCATATTTTAATAATTTTATAGATTATATAATAGATTAAAAATTATTAAAATAAATTTCCTTTTATATTAAAATATAATAAAGAAGGACAATATTAGATTTTGCTTTTAAAAATATAATTTTTTTTACTATTTATTCACTATTATTATTTACTAGATTAACTATATATACTATAATTTATTGAAAGATAAAATAGAACAATGTAAGCAATTTACTCTCAAATTCACTTGTAATATCTAAAATATTCTTCATATTTAAATTTGTAGTTAAATTTAACTCTTATTTTAGACTTTAAGGCTAAATTGACTCAATTTCTAATAGTCAAATTAAAGGACTAAAATGAGACAATGTAAAACTCTAAGACTAAATAGTACATTTATCCATAGTTGGAAGACTATTTTGAACTATTTCTCTTATAGAAATTGACCACGATATGAAGAGGCCTAAGTCATTCTGAATCAATTTAAAGTTCAAAACTCCTCTTGAGAACTTATTAGGTACAGATGATGGAACTCAAAGTTGTGATAGCATTGTGTCTATATATATATATATATATATATTTTTTTTTTTGGCAGCACTTGCAACCGGGGACTTTCGATTTTGTTGGAATTTCGTTCAAGGACGATGATGTAGCTGCTAATCATCTCCTTGGAGGGCCTTCTTCTGGGCAACCAGGAGATTATTTTTCTTGGTTGCCGATTTTCTACTTTGCTTGTGTATGTGATTAGCAGTCTGAGTCCTTCGGATGCTTTTGCATCTTTTGTGGATGGCAGTTCTTATTTCTTTTGCTTCAATTGTCTTTATTTTCTCTGGGGGTATAGGTTTTTGGTTGCACCTCAATGTTTGAGGTCTAACCTTTTTTGTTATGCCTTACTTGTAACCTTCTTTTACATGGTAATATATGGGCTTTTTGCCCTCATTTTCCCAAAAAAAAAAAATTTGTTTTTAAAACCGATGCTAAAAGTAGTTTTTCCCAACAATTTTAGCAGCGGTTTAAACTGCTATTATTATCAGCGGCTAAAACTGCCGCTGCAGAAGCATAATAAATGCTTTAAGGAGCCTTAATTTCTAATACACCATTCGAGCCTCCCCAATGTTTTCCTCTTCTATTCTTCGATAGAGTCAATTCTAGTTTCCCTTTGATCGATTGACTGTTGTGCTTCCTCCACATCCCTCTGTCGTAGCATCGGCCAATTGCCTCCATTCTGTTGTCGTTGTTCAACTATTTTATCGTCTTCTCTAAGTAGGTGATGAATGTTCATTAATCTTGCTCGTGTTAATAGTTAAAATAATTTCTCTTTCTTAAAAATTATAAACAAAGCAAGAGTTTAGCCAAAGCCTTATAATCAAATACTAACATCTCTCTCTTATCATGCCCTAATTTCCCTTACCAGAGCTTGACTGTCACCATGAAGTTAGCTATTTTTCTCCTTCGATAGAGCACAAATGTAAGGATAATATTGTTTCAATATATCATCCAATTGTCATTGTTGTGTTGCTTCAATCGAATAGGTGTTGCAAATTTCTGTATTAAGAGAAGATATTTCAAACTATATTTTTGAATTTTTTGGACGTAGAATTTTTTTATATTTATAGGGAATTAGCTTATGCATTTTTTTATATGAGAACAAATTATTATCTCAACAAATGCTTGAGCAAAATTGCATAATGAGGAAATATTTATATATGATTTGTTTACTGAATATTATTTCTTTCATGTTGGATGGGGACTCCCACAAGAAATTAGAATGTATTTTGAATTAAAAAATTGTAGTGCATGCTTATTTGTTCGTTTATAAATAAAAAAATATAATTTACATTTGGGGATTAATGACACCGGAGTGTCTTCAATTTTAGTTGTATATGGAAAAACCCGCATACAACTTCTCTGTTAGTTTGTTTTCTAATCCCCTGTTTCTTTCTTAGATTGTGTTGCTTCCTATGTAGCCGATTCTAGTGCTGCTTGTACATCGCTAGTTATAAATACCTTGAGAAATAAAGGCGGGATAGTTTTTTTGGGTGAATTCAAAATTCTGTTCTAACTCTGTTATTGAGTTACTGTATCCTGTAGTGTTACAGGTGGTGGCCGGAGCTCGAGCGGGAGGTGGATTTCCTGTCAGTAGAACTCTAAAGGAGAAGGTAAGTCGTCTTATCTTCTTCATACGTGATCTCTTTGCTGCATCGATTACCAGGACGGTGTCAAATTTGGTATCAGAGCCGGCGAAGATGCCGCCTCGGAGGAATGTGCAACGTCCGACGAAAGACGTTATCATTGAAGATCTGCAAAGAGAAATTCAGCAGTTACAACAAAGATTGGCAAGATTTGAGCATAGGGAGACGGATCAAGAAGTTCAAGAAGAGGAGGAAGAAATGAATCCTTTTCATCTTGAATCTCACAGTGAAGAAGAAGAAAGAAGAACCCTACCTGGTCGCCGTAAATATCACAGAGATGATGCAGGAGTCAAGATAGAGCTACCTGATTTTGATGGCCGGCTAGACCCGGACGAATTCGTTAATTGGTTATATACCATAGAACGAATTATTGAGTTTAAAGAAATACCACAGGATCGAATTGTCAAGATTATTGCTATTAAACTGAAGAAAAGCGCGTCGCTATGGTGGGAAAATTTAAAACGCAATAGAGAACGGGAAGGACGCAGCAAGATTATCACATGGAGTAAGATGAAAAAGGAACTTCAACGCAAATACTTACCGGAACGATATCGACAAGATTTATTCTTAAAACTTCATAGGTTACAGCAGAACCAGTTGTCTGTAGAAGAATATATTGCGGAATTTGAACAGTTGTCACTCCAATGTGATTTATCAGAACCTGAAGAAAATACCATCGCACGATTCCTGGAAGGATTACAGGCTCCCATTGCGAACATAGTCCAATTACAGCCGTATTGGACATTACAGGATGTATTCAATTTGGCTATAAAAGTGGAAAAGCAGCAACGTCCTAACAAGTGGACTCGAGGGAGGACCACAAGTCAAGAAGATAGTATGGAGAAAGTCAATTTAAAAAAAACAGAAGGAAAATCTGCGGGAATCAATCCGGTAAACAAGGATGGCTATAAACCCTTTAATGTAGCATCAAAAGTTCCTGGAGCAAGCACATTGGCACCAAGAAAATGTTTCAAGTGTCAAGGTTTTGGACATATCGCCTCAGGGTGTCCAAATCGACGGGTAGTTACACTCATGGAAGATATTGGGTCTGATCAAGACATGGCTGATGAACAGGACATGGAAACTAATTCCCCAACAGTCGAACCTGAGACGACGATTATCTCTGCTGATGAGGGGAGTTTACTTGTTCTTCGTAGAGTACTGAGTTCACAGAAAGAGGATACAGATCAGCGGCACCGTATTTTTCAAACCAGATGCACCGTAGGCGGTAAAGTCTGTCAAATGATTATAGATAGCGGAAGTTGTGAGAATGTAGTGTCTACAACGATGGTGGAAAAACTAGCTTTACCCACGGAAAATCATTCCAAGCCTTACACCCTTTCGTGGATTCAGAAGGAGAATGAAGTTAGGGTCACAAAGAGGTGTCTTGTTAATTTCTCCATTGGAAAGTTTGTGGATCAAGTTTGGTGTGATGTTGTACCGATGGATGCCTGCCATCTTCTTTTAGGCCGTCCTTGGCAATTCGACAGAAAAACGGTACATGATGGGGAATCCAACACGTATTCGTTCAAATACAAGAATCAGAAAATAGTATTGGTCCCTATTGCACCAACTCTGTCTAAAGGAGGTCAACCCCAACTCCTGACTAGATCTCTGTTTGTGAAAGCTCTTAGAGAGGAGGGTGTTGGTTTGCTGATATTGGTATTATTCAGCAATGACAGCGTCAAGCATGACAGTAAAGACGTGCAAGATATTCTGGATGAATATGCTGACTTGCTCACAGATGTTCTTCCTGCCAAATTACCGCCTGAAAGACAGATCCAACACTCAATTGATTTTGTACCTGGTGCGATTATTCCCAATCGACCTGTCTATAGGCTTCGACCAGACGAGCAAGCTGAACTCAAGCGACAGGTACAAGACTTATTGAACCGAGGTTTTGTGAGACATAGTGTCAGCCCGTGCGCCGTGCCAGCGCTATTGGTGCCCAAGAAAGACGGTACATACAGGATGTGCATAGACAGCAGGGCTGTTAACAAAATCACTGTTAAATACAGGTTTCCCATTCCTCGGATCGACGACATGTTCGACCAGTTGCAGGGTGCTACGATCTTCTCTAAGATCGACTTGAGGAGTGGATATCATCAGATCAGAATGAAGACAGGAGACGAGTGGAAGACTGCCTTTAAAACACATGAAGGCTTATATGAGTGGTTGGTTATGCCATTCGGCTTAACCAATGCCCCCAGTACTTTTATGCGGTTGATGAACCATATTCTGCAGCCTTTCCTCTCTAAATTTGTGTTAGCATATTTTGATGATGTCCTCATTTACAGCCCCAATCTGCAGGATCATCGAACACATTTAAAAAGCGTTTTTGCAGTTCTCCGAGAACAACAGCTATTCGTGAATAAGGAGAAATGTCAGTTCGCTGTAGCTGAGATATCCTTCCTAGGATATAAGTTATCAGCTGAAGGTTTGCACGTGGATTGGGAAAAGATCGAAGCAGTCCGCAGTTGGCCCACGCCACAATCATTCACAGATGTCCGACGATTCCATGGACTGGCATCATTTTATAGAAGGTTCATCAAAAATTTCAGTTCAGTGGCGGCTCCCATGACTGAATTATTGAAGGCTGATCGCTTCGTGTGGAGTCCAGAAGCTCAACAGAGTTTCGAAGCATTAAAATTACAATTGTCCTCGGCCCCTACATTGGTACTCCCTAACTTCTCACAAGCTTTTGAAGTTGAATGCGATGCTTCTAACCTGGGAGTTGGAGCTGTTCTTACACAAGGTGGACATCCGGTGGCCTATTTCAGTGAAAAATTAAGTGAAGCTCGTCGGAAATATTCTACGTATGATAAGGAATTTTACGCAATCGTTCGAGCATTACAACACTGGAATCATTATTTGTTGGCAAATGAGTTTGTGTTATACTCTGATCATGAAGCATTACGGTTTTTAAACCATCAGAAGAAGCTGAAAGCGCGACACGCACAGTGGTCCGAATTTCTGTCAGCGTTCCATTATGTGCTCAAGCACAAAGCCGGACACAACAACCAGGTGGCGGATGCACTCAGTCGACGGCATCTATTACTGCAGACGTTACAGAGCCAAGTTATTGGGTTTGACGTGATCAAGGAATTATATAACAAAGATGCCGATTTTCAACACATTTGGGGAAAATGTCAAGGCACCAATCATAAGCAATTCCATGTTAACGATATATATATATATATATATATATTTTTTTTTTTGGCAGCACTTGCAACCGGGGACTTTCGATTTTGTTGGAATTTCGTTCAAGGACGATGATGTAGCTGCTAATCATCTCCTTGGAGGGCCTTCTTCTGGGCAACTAGGAGATTATTTTTCTTGGCTGCCGATTTTCTACTTTGCTTGTGTATGTGATTAGCAGTCTGAGTCCTTCGGATGCTTTTGCATCTTTTGTGGATGGCAGGTCTTATTTCTTTTGCTTCAATTGTCTTTATTTTCTCTGGGGGTATAGGTTTTTGGTTGCACCTCAATGTTTGAGGTCTAACCTTTTTTGTTATACCTTACTTGTAACCTTCTTTTACATGGTAATATATGGGCTTTTTGCCCTCATTTTCCCAAAAAAAAAAAAAAAAATTGTTTTTAAAACCGATGCTAAAAGTAGTTTTTCCCAACATGCAATTTTAGCAGCGGTTTAAACTGCTATTATTATCAGCGGCTAAAACTGCCGCTGCATAAGCATAATAAATGCTTTAAGGAGCCTTAATTTATAATACACCATTCGAGCCTCCCCAATGTTTTCCTCTTTTATTCTTCGATAGAGTCAATTCTAGTCTCCCTTTGATCGATTGACTGTTGTGCTTCCTCCACATCCCTCTGTCGTAGCATCGGCCAACTGCCTCCATTCTGTTGTCGTTGTTCAACTATTTTATCGTCTTCTCTAAGTAGGTGATGGATGTTCATTAATCTTGCTCGTGTTAATAGTTAAAATAATTTCTCTTTCTTAAAAATTATAAACAAAGCAAGAGTTTAGCCAAAGCCTTATAATCAAATACTAACATCTCTCTCTTATCATGCCCTAATTTCCCTTACCAGAGCTTGGCTGTCACCATGAGGTTAGCTATTTTTCTCCTTCGATAGAGCACAAATGTAAGGATAATATTGTTTCAATATATCATCCAATTGTCGTTGTTGTGTTGCTTCAATCAAATAGGTGTTGCAAATTTCGGTATTAAGAGAAGATATTTCAAACTATATTTTTGAATTTTTTGTACATAGATTTTTTTTATATTTATAGGGAATTAGCTTATGCATTTTTTTATATGAGAAAAAATTATTATCTCAACAAATGCTTGAGCAAAATTGCATAATGAGGAGATATTTATATATGATTTGTTTACTAAATATTATTTCTTTCATGTTGGATGGGGACTCCCACAAGCAATTAGAATGTATTTGAATTAAAAAATTGTAGTGCCTATTTGTTCGTTTATAAATAAAAAAAATATAATTTACATTTGGGGATTAAATCCTAATTTTCTTTCAGGATTGAGATAAGATATCCATAGTTGATTTTATAATGCATGTGGCATATCTAATTAAAGAAGGCTATTGCAAAAATTGAGCTATTGGCGATGTCTCATAAAAAGAAGGGAACAAATTACTACATTGATGATCGATCTCTTATAATTTTTTATATTTACTTTAGTGTATTTTGACTTAAAATAACTATGAGATTAATTGAAATTGTAAAGTGCAATGAGCTTAGGGTCTACGACAATTTTAAGCTTGAGATAAGTTCATACTCTCTAATGACTTTACATCTCATATAAACTCAGGTCTCTAACAACCTCAAGTTTCAAAAAATATTAGGTCTTTGCCTACCTCAAATCTAAGAAAAGTTCAAGAACTTTAATAACTTTAAATTTAAGATGAGTTTAAATTTTTTGTCGTCTTCAAATCTGAGACAAGTTAAGAGCTTATTGCAACTTGAATGATTATCCTAATAATTAATCTATTTTTATAGAATTTAAGCTTAATCTTGACTAAAATATGATCATAAATAACCCCTATGTATCGCTTGGTAGATAATGATAAGGCTGATGATGATGGCAAACTATTTGTTAGTATGGTTTGTTGCATGCATTCAGTTGTAATTTCAATTGATTTCTCCTCTTTGATGGTCATTTCAGCAACCACTTCGTCTGGATGGTTGTTTCAGCAACTTGGGGAGCTCTTCTATGATGAGCTAATTTTGGAAAAGATTTTTTTTAGCAATTTTGCCGGCCATTGTAATTTACTCTTAATTTGCTTATTACATTTTTAGCAATTGTTTGGTGCGTCAAGGTTGGTTGGTTCTTGTGGATTATTATGCCTTGTATTCTCGTGGCTTTTTGGTGTTTTTACTGGATAGTGATGATTGATTTTTGACATGAAATGTTAAAGTTGGATAATGAGCTTTATGAGTTCTCTTAACTCTGCCTTAAATGTTAATTTTTTTTTCAAAAATTGACATTAGATTGTGAATGAGTTCAAGATGAAAATTATGTAAGTTGTCTATATGTACTAAGTATTATTGTTTTTGAAGTTCTAATCATTCCTTTATATGGCTATTATAGATTCATATTTGTAGTGGAGTTTAAGAAATATTTAATCCTAAAGGAAGTTTGGTAATGCAAAGTTATGTCATTTAGTTATGCAAAGTTTAAGTGATCAATTTATAACAATAAGAAAAACATTTTATTACTGTTTAATTCATCATAGTTAATTTTTTTTATTTTTTAATGTTTCACGGGAGAGGGCTGTAAAAAATTTCTTAAAAATGTGAAAGTGATACCAAACCCTTGTTCTCAGTAAATCAATTACATAACAAGGTTGTATTATTCATCTTTCTTTTTATGAGTTATATTTCTTCCACATTTTATTATAAGAAATGCTACGATATTTTTTTGTGTGAAGTGATTCTAAACAGTGATCAACGAAAAGCATCTCGGATTTAGGCTTCGTTTGGGACTGCTTTCTTACTGCTTCTTAAAATAATTTTTTAGTACAAAAAATTAACTAAAAAGCAACTTTAAGAAGCAATAAGAAAGACTTCCCAAATGAAGCTTTAGAATGACATTATCCCCTTGGCTCTCGAATTTTATAATTTTTTTTTTTTGTTGGAGCTTTCTTTTCAAAATTGGAATGCTTTGTTGGAGGTTGCTTTAATCTTTGTGCTGGTTGTTGTTACAGACATCTTAAATGGACACAATTTTATTTGGCTGGTTTTATACAAATGATTGCTCATCCCTCCCTCATGCTCTTCCCCACAACTATTATGTTTTAGACACTAGCAAACAAATTGAGTTGACTCTTATAGATCATTAAATACTTGAAGCTAAGGTTCACTTTCATTGTGATATACTTGATGCTTTTGTAACAATAAATGGCCATAAAAATGTAGATTTTAAACTGTTATCTTTATTAATAAATTTAGGCCTTTTAATAATTTTTTAATCTATATATTTAGCTACTATGCGTTTTACCCGCTGTTATTCTGGGGCTGTAGTAGTAATTTTATTTTCGTAATTTTACAAAGGAAAATAAATGCTTCAATATCTATTTAGCCAGTTGCAAAACTATTGTGAAAACCCCTTGCAGCGAATACTAAATACAGTGGTCGTAGAGTGATTTTAGAAACTCTACAATATTTTCACGAAAGCCCTTATAAAGTGCTACAAAAGCCCATTTTTTTATAGTGTATAGTTCATATGATCAATATAATAAATAATAAGTTATGACATGTCATTGACAAGCATGTTAATAATCAAGTGAATCATACAAAGTAAATAATAAACTATAAATGCACCATTAATATTAGTTTGTGTATTAAAAATATATTCAATCATTTTATTAGATATACATGTTGGTAAAGAATAAGTTAGCCCATAATAATATTTCAATCATCCATTTTTTCATCGACTGGACATATATTCTACACATAACTATATGCAAATTATCGCATCCAATCTCATATTATATAATACCAAATAATAACATGCAATAATACAAAATAGTAAATATGTTGTAGAAAGTAGGTATATTAACATAATCATTCAAAATCACTTCAAATGTCATGCAAAGTACATAGAATTGCATAAGGAACATAAAAAAATGTATATTAAGAATGCAAGTAGAGAAAAAGCCTACAAATAAAGCAACATACATGACATCTATATGATGCATCATGTATGTCACATGTAGAATATCTAGTAATTTGGTCAATAGACTTCACAATACCATTCTACACATACATAAAATATAACATTATAGGAACATTGTAATACAAGATATAATGATTTTAAAATTTTGAAATGAGATTAGGACATGTTCGCTAAAATATTCGTTTGAATAATATTTTTCTAACAAAATAAATATATTTTTCATATGAAAAATATGATGGAAGGTCATATTTGATTATAAAAATTCATCGATGGTGGAAACATCATAATTTGTCAAAAAAAAAAAAATCCCCTAAGAATTAAACATAGAGTTTCGCATAAAAAAAAGGTTATAAAGCACATGGAGGGAGAATGTACAATGACAAGATCTAAGTAAGAAGTTGGATAAAAAGGTACGAAAAAAGAAAGACAAAAAGGATAAAAAAAAAATTTGTCAAAATAAATAAAAATAATACTTTACTATTTAGTCCTTTTTTTTATGATCCTCTGTTCTACTCCATCTCCATCCCACTATTGGTAATATAAGGGTACCTCAACTTCTATGTTTCTCTTGTATGCACCATGTTTTTTTACGACTTTGAAATTTTTATAAGTAAATTGAAACCTCAAAATTGGGCCTCAACTTTCTTATTTAGGTTTACAACTATGCTTTTCTAGGATTTGCAATTTCTCTTTAAAAGAAGACTAAAGACTTGAACTACGGATGATAACCATGATCCTTGCTTGCAATTAAGCCTTTTATAGGGAAATTCTTGCTTCTTTTTGACCCCCTCGAGATTTTTTTGATACTCCATATCACTTTCTTGCACTTTCAAATCTCAACAAAGCCTTTAGCGATGATTTTGAGCAAAAATTGATTTTCTATCTAATTTTTTTTGCTAAGCACATCAACAACTCCTAAAGCTTCCAAAATACATAAATAGTGATTGAGCTGGCATAATCTACTTCAACGTCCTAAAAGGATGTCTACATTGATATAACGAAAGTGGTCACATGTTAAAATTTCATAATTTTTAGTGGTTCATTTTTAGAGACTTAAAATATTTTCAAACTTATAAATCAGGACGTCTAAAAATAAAAAGCAATTGATGGGATCACAAACTCTCCATTCAATCAACACAATCTTTAACATAAATTGGAAATTCAAAGGACCCAATGGAGGGACATAATTTTTTTTAAATTTATTTAAATGATCAAATAGACTCTAAATTTTGCAAATTTAGTAAATAGAATTAATAACTCTAAAATTACTTAATTTCAAATTTTATTGGGCCCTAATTAGTAAGACTAGGAAATGTACCTCAATCCAAGGGACTAGTCGACC